TCCCGGCTTTCTTCACGCTTCGTATTCCGGCTCACGCTCCGACTCGCTTTCCTCCCAGGTTCTTGGCTTGTATTCCTGCCGGGCTCCCCCGTCACTTCCCTTGCCGCTTCTCGACTTCGATTCCTGCGGTCTTCCCGATCAGTATCCTTACCCGGTTCCCGACTCGTTTCCCTGCTGGGAATTTTGCGAGAAGACTTGCTCGCGTCGCGGCTGCCGGCTCTGTTTCCGCTTTCGCTCCGGTTCCTGCTGATCGACCTGGCCGCATTTCTGCTGGATGCTCTGCTCCTCTCTCTACTCGCTTCCCTGCTGGCGTTTCTGGACTTCGGGGATACGGGTCGAGGGGGGATTTCTACCCCCTCCTTGAATATCCCAGTCTCCTGGAGGGCCGCTTCGAGGGCCGTTACCTCAATAGCACTCCTTTGCAATGGCGTTCTCGCTGAAGTCTCAGTCGCCGACAAATTTTGCGGTCCTGCTGGCAAGCTAGTATCGATTCGACTTGGTCGTCTAGGCTTCTTCTTTGTCTCGGCTCTGCTGGGTGGTCTCGGGGGGTCCTTGACTTCGGCTCGAGTCTCAGGTTTCGGTTGGGGTGCCCGCATGGTGTCAGTAATGGTGGGCATCTCGAACGGGGGCCAAACTGGCTCTTCGGGGGTGATTAATCGTGCCGACGGGGGGAATGGTTGAGGATGGTTCCAGATGTAGCGGCTAGGGGGGATCAGGGATTCATTGACGATGGCAGTCATGGGATCATCGTCAATCGCTGTCATGGGTGGAGTGCAGAGATCTCGACTTGTAAAGAAGTTTCCTGGTTGTGTCCCTCTCGGTGGCACTTTTGTTGACAGGGGAGGTAGCGACCTTGGCCCCGTTGCTACGGCCAGCTTTGGGCGTCTCGATGCTGGTGTTGGGCTGGGGAAAACAGGGGTGTCCAAAATATCCGACATACCTCCAAAGATGTGCTCGGCACATCCGTTGCAGTTTCCGAGGCATCTCCCTAAAAGTGGGCTCTCTTGCTGCTTCTCGATATCGGACCCAGTGCTTGGCTGGTCGTCGGCAGCAGGCTGCCCGAATACGCGGATCACTGGCCCCGGCGGCCCGACTTCGATCATTGGCGGCGATTCCGGTTGCTCCTCAATGCTCTGTCGAGATCTGAGACTGCTGATGGGGCTAGCTACTGTGGGTTCTTCGTATGGTTCCTCGGCCTCAGGGAGCCCGCCGAGTCTTTCCTTCTTGGTAGGGGGATCCACCGGCAGCCCCTTTTGCACTGGCGATACCAACACTGGGGATGATTGAACTGGCGATGCTTGGACGGGCAGCACAGCTTCGTCCTTACCTTGATCCTTTGTCTCTGTGGCATCGGATCTGTCGACGAGCTTGGCGAATGGGGGAAGATCAGTGTTGACGATGAGCAACTCCTTGACGCCTCTCCCCAAGAGGCCGTATACCGATACTTCACCGTTCTTGATGCCAATCACGGCGCTGGTACCAGCATACACCACTTCGTCTTCAATACCACAGCGGTTGCAAAAGACAACGATGATTTCTTCTTCGTGGCCAGCTCGAATGACTGGCTCGAGTCTCTGAGCCCAGTACGTGAGCGTCTCCATGTCGGGCTCCAGGGATAGGGGCGTAAAGCTGGTGCGATTTTGAAGCGTGAGCCAGGCCATTGAGACAATGACTAGGTTAGCCTTGACTTTGAGGATATGACACCCAAACTCATACGCGTTCCATGGCGCCTCGAACTTGTAAGGACTGCGCAAGGTTAGTTAGGCGTTCGTAATTCGAGGTAGTCCATACTTTATGTCCATGCCTAGCGGGTAGCGTTAGCTTGGCGTCGACAAGGAGCTGCATGTCAGGAGAACATACAGATACCCATAGCTACTTTCCCAAAGTTACCGATCTCTCCGGCATAGAAGCCTCCACCTTCCTGAGCCCAGGTGGCGTCGGTGTAGTAGAGGAATGACTTGCGGTAGTTGGCCACTGTTTCGCCGTCCCCATTGACAACAATGAGGGAGTTGTAGTACTTGGGACTGGACCCCCGATGACGGCGAGATGAATCGACTATCTCGGGATAACCAACAGCCACAGTGCAGTCGTACTTTAATGCTGTTGTCCGGGCCCATAGAGCACTGATGCCGGAGCCCGACGGCTCAAGATATGGCATGATGTGGTCGAGAGACTTGAAGTTGTAACCTTGTGTTGTTAGCCCCTGAACGGATTCCGGGGTCAGGCCGACGAGACTTACCACTGAAGGCCATCTCGGGAAGGACAAGGAGGTCCAGGTTGTCCAACTCCATGGGGTCGGCCCGGGAGAGGACGGCATCGGCCCGGTTGAGGTTGTTGGCCACATCGCCGACCTGTGGAGCAAACTGGAGACAGCCTATCCGAGGCATCTTGGACGGGGGACAGGACTGAGTGGGATAAAACAAGAGAAGCAACGACAGAGACACCTCAACTCGCAACAAAGTGATTGCGAAGGATGAAACCGTCTACCGCAGCTTTGTTTCAAGTTGCAGAGTATCCCACTCGTACAGTGCCGCAACAGGCCAGGAAGGGAGACCAAGGGGGGAACTGGATGGGTGATGCTTTATCTGTGATGGATACAAGATACAAGAGACATGTCGCGGTCCGTCATGGCGGGGCGTTGGGGGCCGAAGGAAGGTGGGGGCATGGAGGGGCAACGAGCCCGTTGCCCGCTGGTGCCGGTCCCGAACAACCACTGCCACCACGCCGCCAACAGGAACAGAGGAACAGTAAGGTAACCACACAGCGAGCTCGTAATATCGACCGAATAGGAAGCCAAGGTCATGTTGGCGACTTAAGCGCCTCCCACAGCAGCACAGCACCTTTTCCGCGCGGAAGGTCGCTTGTTGGATGGTAAGCGCACATGGTCCTAAGCCAAACCTTTCCTAGCTCCCGCCAGCTTTATCGTGGCGAGAAGTGAGAGGTGATAGAAATCACGCATCGGATTCGCCAGTATTTCGTTCCTGCCTGCTGCTGAGAGTCGTTCCTCCTTGATCAGGGGAAGTCATCAAGGTGGACCGGTGCGTCCCGCGTTTTAGCGTCTTTCAGAGGGGGGTAGTGCCTGAGGTGTTAGGCATCTTTCCTCGACGCTGAGGAACTCTCGTCCTTTTTGATTCCAACAAGATTCTGCCCCGCCATGACTGACTGACTGGCACAGCCAGGACGTGTAAGCTCTCGGTCAGCGTCCATTCTTCACCTTTGTGGCACTCGATACTCTGGGCCGCTGCCCCCAAAATCACCAACGCAAGACTGGTTCGGACTGACCTCGGCTTGTTTCTTGGTTGTCAGTTCTTGGTTATGCCGTCCTGCCATCTTGGCCACGCCAGCTCACACCTGAGGGCATTTTACGCAGGTTGGGGCCTGAAAGAGTTTGGCTTCTGAGCGACCCGTCCTTGCAGGCACTAGTCTTACCAGTAGTAGCCTCCCATTTGGGTCCTCGATCGCGACAGGGTGTGTGCGTGTGTTGTCGAATTTCTGGTTGGTTGCTTCTGCTCTGCCGAGCGGAAGGATCCTCCTTCCGGCACTCACAAGGCGAGCTTCTGCATGTCATTCTCCCCGCGCTTCTTCCTTCGACGGCCACGGAGTCGGATCAAGCCGACCTCGGTCTTGTAAACGCGAATAGAGTACATCCTGGCGTCGAGGTCTGGACGGGATCTTTGGATCTTGGCCATAAGCATCATGTCAGTTGGTTCGATGAGCGCTTAACTTGCTTCAAGTTGATGAGATGGATGTCCTCAGCCGCGCTTTACACTGAAAGTCTGGTTAGGATTTTCTTGTCCTACAACAAAAACCGAGCGTGTGTCGCTCTTATCAAGCTTGGCTGTCGTTGCCATTGGATCGGATTGGTTGTCACCCGCGCTGTTCGTCTATCTCCTTCTCGCCCCCGACCTCTTGTGATGCAAGAGACTGGCACGGATACCCTCCGGACTGCCGGATCCAGAATCTGGATGGCCTCTAAAAGTTCTAACTCGTCGATTTTGCGAATTACCCCGCTCCGTACAACTGTTGACGACTCGAGGCAGCGTTTGCGCTTGTCCCAGGTGAGCCTTGCGAACGAGGCTATTCTGTAAGTGATCAAGCTCCTGATGGTTCAACTCGCCATACAGCACAAGCCAGTCGGCAGCCCTTTTCTCGTCCTGTTGAGTATTGGCTGTCTGATATGCGAGGGTCTTTTGCACCGGGTTGGCCCTGATCGGCCCCGACTCTACAGAAGTTTAGCACCCCCCAGTGTCCGAGCGCTTGCCTCTATCAAGAAATTCCATCCCTTCAGCCCTTTTCGATCAATCTCAGTTCACAATGCCCGGTTAGTTGGACCCCAAGCGGTATCCCTCGTGGCGCCTCTCGGACTCGTCCATACACTTCGTCACTTCGTCACCTCGCCGCCAAGTCGCTCCTCGGGCAGGCAGACAATAATATCAGCCAGGATACCTACGTAGAGTGGTTGCCTCGAACCGCCTAGGCATCGGGAGGTTCTCCCCAACAAGAAAGCCGGTTCATGACTGACCATTTTTCAGAATTAAGCGCCGATGTTTCGAGGATCGATCCTCTACTTATAATCCGGTCAGCATCGGATTGTGATGATCAGATGTGATGATCATGAGTTTTCATTCGGAACGGAGTTCCGCCTCTGTCCGGGGGAGTAGGAGGCCGCGGCACCTTTTCGTTCTGGAGGCACCACCACCACCTCAACCTTAGCAGGGCAACATTCCCGCCCCCGTCACCACCCCTCCATCCCTCATGACCGTAGGCCAATCCTCCGGCGGCGTGGAGTTGGCTCACACCCCGCCCCTGACCGACAGCTCCATCCCATCCCATCGCAAGTGCGCCCAGTAGCGAGCCGAACACGGTTATCAGATAAACCAGAACCTCAAAATCTCGCCACGGCGTGCGCGGTCAAAAGGCAAACCGAGCACAGCACAGCACAGCAGCGTGCTTCAACACCAACAAACCATCACCATCTCAACAACAATGTCACAAAAACAGGGCGTGTGGCTCAGTTGGTAGAGCGTTCGCTTAGCATACTGAACTACCTTATCAGGGTAGTGATATATGCGAAAGGTCCTGGGTTCGATTCCCAGCTCGTCCAGTCCCCATATCCTCTCTCTCTCTCCTCAGATCTCTCTGATCTGTATCCTCTATCCATGATTATTTAGGGGCGTGTGGCTCAGTTGGTAGAGCGTTCGCTTAGCATGTTTGTCTTGTACAAGACGAAAAGACATGCGAAAGGTCCTGGGTTCGATTCCCAGCTCGTCCAAGGAATTACGGATAGGGAGTCGGCGGGAGGATGTGTTCTTTTTGCCATTTTTTGTGTTGAGGGTTGGTTTTTTTTGTGGTGGTGAGTGGGTGGGTACTGGGTCAGTTGAGAGTGGGGAGGGTGGATCGGGATGGTGGCTACCTACCTAGGTAGGTATGAAAAGGGGGGTTCGGGAATATATGCCTGCCGTGGATGTGATATGTATGTTGACCAAGGTTGGTGCTCCAATAAAAGGAGACCGAGTCCCACGGGACAGACAGATGGAGATGGATAAGAAAGGGGTGTGTGTGTGGTGGGGACATTGGGTGACGGTTCTTTTGTGGGTGGAAGAGGAAGAGGGAGGGCCCTCATCGGCCAGTGTGTCTTGGGAGTGATCCGATAGGAGAAGGGAGAAGTAGTCAGGAAGCGGCGAAAGCAAAATGTGCCTTGAACCAGTTATGATGATGGGGAACTTCTTTCCTCTTGATTCGAACAGAGAGAGAGAGGTGCGGCACCCCTTTTCAGAATCAAATGCCCTGAAACGGGACACACCTTCAAAACACCTTTGGGGGTTAATAATGTTTAGTTCACACGCTTCAACAGTCCCGAGCGGCAAAAGACAAGCAGAGAGAGACCGGAATTAACCAAATCACAAGTCAAAGCTTCTCATACAGCTTCTTCTCGATTCCTCTCTCTACCCTGTATAAGTAGATAGGTAGCTAGTTACCCCTTTTTGATTCTCTAATCTCTAAAAAAAATCCTACTGCCACTCAACGCCCCACGTCATCTCGCCCGCGCGAAAGGGCACAATCTCGGCGCCCTCTCCTTTCAGGGAATCAGGGATCCTGTCGGTGCCGCGGCTGACCAGGATATTCCGCGTCGCCTTGGGAACGCCGTAGAAGGCGCGGCCGTACTCGCTCAGGAAGCCGCGCAGGACGGCGTCTGAGACCGAATCGTCGGGGATGTCGCCGCGGGATAGGGCCTCGTCTAGGGCGGTGAGGACGTAGCCTAGGGCGTAGGGCTGGGTGAAGACGCCGGCTGCTGTGTTGCCTTTGCCTTTTTTTGCTGAGATGTCGTGGGCTAGGTAGGGGGGGTTTTGTTAGCATTGGAGGGAAGGGGAATAGCGGGGGGGGGGGGGGGGGGGGGTTACGTACGGGCGCTGTCGGTGCCGAGGAAGAATTTGCCGTTGCTGTTGACGACGGCGTCGAGGAGGGCGCGTCTGTCCTCGGGGGTCTTGGCCGAGGGTTTGCAGTAGTTGTTCTTTTATTGGGATATTAGTTTGAGGGGTGGTTGTGAGTTTGGATTGAGGTTCAGGGGTGTGACGCACAACGTTGGCTGACCAGTCGTCGACTAGCAGAGATAGATGATGGGCTGTCTATGGGCGAAATTTGGGTGAGTATTGATCTATCACGACAGGGTTGGAGGACGGCATACAATTGTTCCCACCACGTTTGGACCAAAAGAGCGCACGGCAGCTACGGCGTCGGCCGTGGTGCAGTGCTCGAGGACGATCTTGAGCTTGGGGAACTTCTCGACCAGACTCCTCAGGGTTGGCAGAAATTTGGCCTCGGCGTTCATAACAGTCACGCCGTCGGCGGGACTGCTCGGGACCTCGCCGTGGAGGTTGAGCACGATGCCCTCTTCCTCCATGGCCTTGAGTACGTCGTAGAACGGCTCAAACGATACCACTCCCCACTGGGAGTTGGTGGTTGCTCCCTTGGGATATGCCTATTTCTTTTTTCAACACACCATTGATCGACAACTCCCTACAAACCATGGATGCGTACCTTGACACCGGCAATACCGGCCTTTTTCGCCTCGCGGATCTCGTCAGGGGTAATGCTCGAGTGCAGATACAGCGACATGAGGTAGTTCACGTCGCCATCAAGCGCCTGAAGGTTGCGCTTATACTCGAGCGCCTCGGCCACCGAAACAACGGGCCGGGGCGCCAGGTTCGGCATGACGAAGACGACGTCGACGCCGGCCTTGCGGATCGTCGGCGTCACCAGCTGCGAGATGGGTCCCGGCGCATTCCGGAGATGCACGTGCATGTCCGCCGCGGCCGGCAAGAGGTATGAGTCTTTGAGCGGCATCTTTAGGTAGCCCACGATATGTAGTTGTGATGTGGGATTTTTTTATGGGAAGCTTTCACGAGGGGAACTTGAATCAGATGTCGGGCCCCGATTCCACTCGTCAATTCGCACCGTCTGGGCGAAATCGGCAGGAATTCGAGATGTAGGGTTAGGGTTATGCAAGGCCTGACACATGACGGTACCCATCGCTCCTTCCTCGTCTTGTGTTATGCCCAAGATGAGAATTTCATCGCAAGATCACGTCGTCGCAGTTCATCACCATAGCTCAATTGTTGTGTTTGTCTGCTCAAGATGGACCGCCCGACGGGCTCCACATTGCTGACCCCGGGCGGCCGCGTCCAAGAAGAGAAGGCGAGCTTACCAATCACGGGATTCCTTCCCGGACCGAGACACTTCTCATGACGTTGATCTCTCCCTCTCCTCCTTTATTTCCGCAGCACAAATCCCGACTTTTCCCAGAACTCCATGGAGAACTGTGATCCATCATGACCGCCAGCGAGGAAGTTGTCGCCGCGCCGTCCGGCGACGGCGGTGAAACCGGCAGCTTCTCAACGGCCCCGACGGCCACCGAAAACACGCCCTTGCTCCGGTCCGAGACGGCAAGCTCCGGAACGGCCCGCGATGTCTCGCCTCCGCCGGCCGACGAGTCTCTAAGCGGCATGAGGATGGCTTGTATTGTCCTGAGCATGTGGGTGCTTATCTTCTTGCAGGGTGAGTAGTAGCCTGTGCCTCTGGTTAAAATCATGGCCCTCTAGGGATACTGACACAGGAGAGATAGCAAGCAACATGTCGGGCATCTCAACCATCCAGTCCACCATCGCTGCCGACCTAGATGCCTATGAGTACGCCATGTGGCTCACCAGTTCGTATCTCATCAGCATGTCCAGTGTTGGCCCCGTCATTGGTCGGCTGGCCATGCAGTTCTCGCCCCAGACCATGATTTTGTTCTCGTCGTTGTGGTTCTCGGTTGGCGCCCTTGTCACTTCGCAGGCGTATAGCTTTGCCATGTTCATCTTTGGCCGCATTCTCGTCGGCATTGGCGGCGGAGGAGTCATGACTCTGTCTCTTATTCTGGTGATACAATTGACCTCCAAGCGGAGAAGGGGGTTGATGATAGGTCTGACCAATGCGGTACGGACCTTCATGCTTTTTGTTTTGTATGATCCCGCTAATTTATCTAGGGCTTCACTGTTGGTATCTCGACGGGCGCCATAGTATTTGGTGCTTTGCTTCCAGTAATCGGCTGGGTAAGTTGCTTTTTTGTGAGAAATCGTTGAGCCCCGCTGATATAAGCCTAGAGAGCTATCTTTCTGGCGCAGAGTCCCTTGGGCTTGCTTGCTGGCATTGGCGTTTATGCTAGCATGCCTCCATATGCATTAAACCCTTCGTTCAAAGCGAGGACGACTCTACAGAAGCTCGCAGGCGTCGATTACGCTGGCGCCTTGACGCTTGTAAGTAACCGCTTCCATATAGCCGTAACATGACTGACATACCCAAGACAATAACCCTCGTGCTCTTCCTCTACTCCCTCTCAACACCGAGAATTGGAGTACTCCCTCTGATCCTCTCACTGCTCATGTTCCCCATATTCCTCGCCATCGAAGCCTCCCCCCGGACCGCAAACCCCATCCTCCCCCTCTCCATCCTCTCCCACCGCGGCATCCTGCTCTCCTGCCTGTCCCAACTCAGCTTCATGGCCGCCCGCTGGGCCGTCCTCTTCTACTCCCCCGTCTGGGCCCTCGCCATCCGCGCCGCCTCCCCCGCCGTAGCCGGGTCCGTCCTCATCCCGACCAACCTAGGCTTCGGCATCGGCGGCCTCCTAATCGGCTGGCTGCACGTCCGCCGCGCCGGCTCCTTCTGGCTGCCCTGTCTCGTGTCGCTCGCCTTCTTCGGCCTGGCCCTCCTGGCCCTGAGCTTCGTCACGTCCGCCTCGTCCCCGCCACTTGCCTACATCGCCGTCATTTTCCTCAATGGTCTCTGCACCGGCGCCGCGCTGAATTACACCCTCGCACATCTACTGCATCTCACCGAGCCGAGTGCGCATTTCATCGTCACCGGCTTGCTGTCGACCTTCCGAGGCTTCGCCGGCAGTTTTGGAACGTCCATCGGAGGCGGCATCTTCAGTCGCACGCTTAGTCGCGTGTTGGCTGAGGGGTTTTCAAGGCTGGATGGAGGAGGGCTGTCCAAGGCGCGCGAGCGCTTGATTACCATCCTGGTGGGCAGCCCCGCGGCCGTGTACCAGGATGGCTTCCTCAGCGATGCGGAAAGGGTCGTCGCCGTGGCAGGCTACGGCGTCGCACTGCGAGCCGTCTACCGCGCCGCCGCTGCGCTGTGTGTTCTTATCCTGTTCCTCCAGGCCGGCACCGGGTGGGAGGGTCCTGTTCCCGAGGCAGACGAGGATGAGGAGGAAGTGGAGGGGGCGATTGAGGAGCATGATGCTACCATGGAGGCGTGATGTCTTTTTTCTCAGAATATATATTTGTATAGAATACAAGTTATAGATCGGGAGGTTGGTAGGGAGTGGGTGTGTTTTGATGTACATGATTAGATCGGAACAGAAATATACAAAACATCGGTCGGATGGTGTAGTTGGTTATCACGTCAGTCTAACACACTGAAGGTCCCCAGTTCAAACCTGGGTTCGATCATGATGGGGTATCCACATCTTGTGGGTGTTCCTTTTTTTTTCGGTTTGTTTTTGCTGCCCAGCAGAGAGATTCCCACAAGAACTCTGGTTGTGGTTGCACTTGGGGCCGGAATAAAGTACAATACAGTGCGAAAATAGTGGACGGCGGTCTGTCTGTACCTATGTCCTGTTTTAGCTCTGAACGGGAGCGCGATGCCCGCCTAGTCTTGAACAGAGTGGAACAAAACCAGTCAAGAGACTAGGATGCGAATGCATGCTAGAAAACGCCAGGAAATAAAGAA